TAGATGAGCACCCACACCCACCCTTTTTTTCCATTTCTTGTCTGGGACCGGCCGGGGGGGGGGGGGGGGATAAGAGTAAGGGCGAAAGCACAAACACACTACATCTCTATGCTGAGAGTGAGAGCGGAAACATACACACAGCATCTCTCTACTGAGGGTGAGGATACGAGAGATGCATCTCCCTGATGGGCCCCAGGCAAAATATGAAAAAAAGAATTTCATCAGGAGATGCTGGGAGATGCCAATACGGAAGATGTGGCATCTTCTGAAGAGAAGTATCATGAGATTTGATATACCTGTAATAGTTGAATAGTGTGTGAAAACGTAGTATGGCATCTTCAGGATCTCCCGTTGTATTTCCAGCATTCTCGATATTCTGAATATGTGACACATCTCTATTATGGAATTATACGCAGTTCAGAAATGAAATCATATCCATTTTTCTGAACTTGACACAGAAATCAGGGCAAATCTCTGGCTGGAAAATAAGACATCTCGTACAGCGGAGCGACATTCGGCTCAAATTACATGAGAGTTTATCAGACTCAATATTAAAAGCTAGTATAGAAGGATATGTTGCCCATAGGATCTGAACTAATTACAGTACTGACCAAAAGTATGCTTCCCCCTTGGATCTCAGTCACGAAAATAGTGACTGAGATCCAAGGGGGCGGAGGGCAGAAATACTTTTGATCAGTACTGTATATATCGTTCTATTTTGATGTCTGTTGTATACTAATACTGTTCCCTTGTTGAGGATTACTACTGTTTGTTGTTGACGTTCGTACTTTTCACATTTAAGTATTTAAAATACAATCAATTAGGAAAAGTTTATCGAATTGACGGAATTTCTTGTTTCTTGCTTTTAGATTAATGATGGCATTTTCATGTGGGTTAACTTTCCTTATTTTTGTACTAGCAGTCAAATCTAGTTCAAGTTTAATCTGTTATCAATGTGATGAAATTGTGATAATAGCTATGAATTTAACAACACCGCCTGGTTGCGTCAAAATGGATGTAAACAAAACGTATTGTACAATAGGAATTGGTTTTAATAATGGTGGTAAAGGATATATGTATAACTGTCGGATCAGAAACGTCTCATCAAGCATATGGTTACAATGGAGATTTTGTTCTACTTGGCTTAACAATGAGAAGTAATGGGTCATATGAATATGGTTTTACCTAGCATTGTTTAAGAGATGGTTGTAATGAACCAAAACTCAGTAAACTTCAATTATTGTTGGATTCAACTACAATAGAACATGATATAGACAAAATCTTACCATTGTTATATACGGCAACACCTGAGGCTGCATTAATATGTTCAAGATACACAAACTTTACAGATCCCAATAGATGCTATTCGGAAGAAATTAATATTTTATGTTTGACATGTTTGTCATCTATTGATGGAATAACAAATTCGCTGTGTGAAAAATGTTTAGAGAATGCTGAAATAATTTCTAATCTTCTTCTTGATGAACGAGCATATTTATTAAAAACAAGTGATCATAATTTTGTAGTACATTGCAACATTCAAGAATGTAATAGAATGGATAAAATTGAACAAATTCGAAAACTATATCGTTATGATTTTGATTATGATAAATTTTTCGGTTGATCAAGATCGGCTTTACTATTCTACAACAAAAATATCATTTAGTTTTTTGTAATTGTTTTATTAATTTGGAATACATTGTGAAACGGGTTCTACACACATACGCATACATACTCATTTTGTGACAGTCTCGAATCTTACAAAGTTCATATATGAGGTAGACTAGTTGCACGGTCACCCTCCATCAATCAAGTCGGAAAAGGACAGAAAGTCATTATTTGGATTGTTTTGTCTTTTTTATAGAATTTTTGAGGCATTCTTCACTCTTTTATACTCAAGTGTCAATCTACGAGACGTTATAGCGACGAAAAAGTTTAACAAATAAAATTTTGTTTTAAGTTGTGCTTAAAAGAAAGGTGAAAAGTTTGACACCGTACCCCATTGGAAACTGCTCTGACAAGATGTTTCATAAGACGTTATATGACAAACTCAAAATTGTGGATTTGCGCAGAAGATGTTTTCTTGATTGTTTTTCTCAAACGTGACTTATTTTCATTTTCAAATGTTCTGCTTAGATGTCAGTGACAAAAACGTTCAACTCGATCCGTTGAATCATTATTGAATACCTGTAAGAGCAAAAGGAGGAACGCGGTTACCTTTCAAAATCTTTTATGATTCTGCTTCGATCGGTCGAAATTTTGCTTCAACTATCAAAAGATGATTACGCAAATCACCCAATCCAGCCTGTAGATCCTACCGAAACAGATCAGATTTGGTCGGATTCTTTGAAACAGGATTCTGATCCGGATTATGTCGGAAACAAGTCGGTCCGATCCTTTAAAATCTACTTACCGGATTATGTCAGATGCAGCGATATATGGCGTTTGAAAACAACTGAAAGGTATGAGAATTCATATACTTCCGACAGTAAAACCTAAAGCGGATTATTCCAGAAAAATTCGCTGACACCTTTTGTAATCTCACGAAGCGTGTGGGGTGTGGGTGTCGGTGTAGTAAAAGGAAAAACCCACACTCACACACCCACACACCAACATCCATACACACCCATAAGTTACTGTCTAATTTGTCTAATGTCAAATATTGTCTTACGTTGATATGAATAAGATGTAATGAAGCCTGAAAAAGAAATTGTTGAGTTATATCTATACAGTATTGTTTCGATCAGATCATTCTCCAAATCTTGCAAAATTTTCGTTTTGTCTGCTGAATTTTTTTTCGTTCACCTATCCCTCGAAAAACGTTAACTCTCAAGTTCTGTCAACCTGAGCACATTTGTGATTTTTAATATCCAGAGATGAACACGCATTTATCGCTTTTCTTGTCTCTAATGTGATAAATGTCGATCGATAAAATATTATGATGTAATACATTTTTATGTAATTCATATGGTTATTGCAAATATTGTAAATTTTATTTTATTTTTATTACCAAATAAGTTAATTATGTTAAATCCATTTAGTATGATCAAGATCATACTAAGGTTATCGCTAATATAAGTCAATTATTAGAAAGAAAACGATAAAATCTATTTTCAATTAGTTCACCAAAGAAACCTTTTCTCGAATATTTATTGATTAATTTAAATTTAAATTATCAAGATGCAACTTTAATTCCATCATTACCAACAACAACCTCCTAGAATATCAAGACTAATAATAAAGTTAGTACCAACAAATAATTCAAATAATATAAATCGTATTATTTAACAAATAGCACCCAAATATAATATTGAATGTCGTTGAACTTAAACATATGATGAACTTGACAAATATATACAAAAAAATATCTGTGCACATAAACAACTTTATATATATGATCAACGTCGTTCAAATTTATCATCATAAACATCAACACTGATTATAATAACAATATTACCACGATCACATCATTAATATGTTTGTACATTATCAACCATATCTCATTGTATATTACTTCTTCGTCCATTTTTTGGCATCATTAAAAATAATCCATAACAAATAATATATCATTAATTGATGAATTATTATTAAATAATATACGCTATGCGAATCAATTAATTCGTCGTGATTTATGTTTATTATTTTGATATTTAACACGTGATCATATACAATTTATCGATTATATAATAACAAAAATTTTTCATAAAATTGAAACAATATATCAAGAAAAATTACTATTATCATCATTATCATTAATGAATTGTGATTTATTAGTACTTTTTTCATAAATATAATATTCAAATCAAAATGATCAAGGTCAATGTTGGGAAAATAAATTACGTTGTATATTTAAATTATTCCATTATTTATTAAAACACTTTTACAGCACAAATACTTGAATTAACAACATTACTTTATTTAAGAATATTATTATATTTATCAAAACCTTGAACAACAACAACAAATACAATATTTAATTTCATTAACATTGAAAAATTTTCAATAAAACAAATAACATATGAAGATTGCTATAATAACAATAATTTACATGAAAATATTTCAATAATACTAAGTTATTTAACATACAAATTAATTTAAACATATTGATCCAGGAGACAGAGCAGTAGGAAATAAATAAGAAAATATGGAATAAATAACTGCTGTGAATATTATTTTTAAAATTTTATTTCAAACAGAAATAAAAAATACAACATTCGAGCTTTCGTATCCTAGTCTGAACACATCATCAGGAATGAGGACGACACGTGAAAATTGCAATGAACAGAATATAAATAAAGAAATTACAAGAACAATTAGAAAATGTGGAAGTTTATACGTGAATGAGAAAATCTTTTAATTATTTAAGTTAACAATTAAATTATGATGTATGTCTATGAATAAGAATATGAGTTAATAATGGAAGAAAATAATGTTTAGTTGTATAATAAGATTATATGTATATTATGAAGAATAATATGAGTTGATGGTTTACGTCGATAAGAATATAGATTTTCAAACTAATAAAAGTAAGTTGCCATATTCAATAAGAATACGTATTTATATTAGATAGGAATAAGTGTCAGCAATCAAAGAAGAATATAGGTTATTATTTTACTGAGTATTGAATAGGAATATAATTCACATATTAATAGAAATACGAGTTGATAAAGGGTGCGAGTGGATGTGGGGTGGGTGTGGGTATGTGGGTGTGGGGTGTGGGTGGGTGTGTGTGTCTTGTCTTCAGTCACACACCCTAATTCAACATGATTTTGCATTGTATCAAAATAAATTGATATATAATCTATTAATGCAATTAAATATGGTTGATTATTAGAACATGATAAAAGAGTTTTTATATAAATTGTATCAGGTGTTGTTTCGACATCATTTAAATTTATTTTATTTGATATTAATCGTTGTGTTGGTAATGAAAAATAGAGATCATTTATTTTTTTAATTAATGTACCTGTTGACGCACGCCATAATGATGAAATATTAATACCAAGGATCAGACAATGAGGCATTGATAACCAAACAAAATCCTAGGAAGACAAAAAAAGACACAGATTTATACTGTCTCTTATTTTCTCAAATCAATTTTCCTTTATTATGAGAATCGTCCTAAAAATTTTATGCTATGGAAAAAAAAATAATGACTTGAACATGGGATGCAACGTTGATAGGAGTGTGATAATCGAGTGAATGTATGATAAAACTACGATAGTCTTGAATTAATTTGGATTTTTTGTTCAGTTAGAGAGGCTATTGCAAGAAAATAACTGAGTTTTAAAACAATAGATTGTATGTTTTCGGAGTCTAGAAATTCAAATCTATAGAAAGTTTGTCGAAATCCTCGAGCCCATTTTTATCATTCAAGAAGACTTACGAGAGAATATTCCCAACTGTCACATCGCTTTTGAGTCGAACGTATGCGAATTATGTAGACCTTAATGATCTATGAGTTCTCTGAAAAAATGTCGGACTGCTAGCTTATTACTGCCGAGATACTGTATTTGTACTATATGTTTGAGAAAAAAAGCCGTGGTTCCCCTCAGGAACACTGGGAAAATTGACTTTCGAATTTGGACTTGAAACTTTGCATAGAGACAGGCCTCAATGA